GCATTCCTTTGTGCTTCTACGTGGGCCTCTACTGTCTCTTTATAATAAAAAAAAATCTGTTTTCTGTCAGTGTTTGGTGCCTAAAATAAGCTATTTCGTTAGAGTAGAACCACCTCATGTGGAAGAGAAAGCTGCTGCTGGAGGAGCAATGGAGCTTCTCAGTGTAGTGACCCTTTGCACCGACGTCACCTAATCACGTGTGTCCACCATGGTGGATGGCAAAAGCATGTAAACAGTAAGCGACACAAGTACTAAACAAAGGGAAAGTAGAGCCAGTATGAGTTGCGATCAAAACAAAAACAAAACTCCTCCAGCATTCCTTCAACTAGTTCATGCCCAGTTCAGTTATCAGAAGAAGTAGCGCATCTAGCCGGGGCTCATATATGCTAACTAGCTTACCAGCGTCTCGTGATTTTTATCTTGAGAGGCGCCTATAGAAATGATACTTTTTTCTTCTTCTTCTTCTACCAACGTTAGCTTACGTTCTCTCTGCAGCTGTTCACCGATGTAAACATGTTGCTGACTTTGCCTAAATTCACCCCTCTGGATTTACAACTTTATGTTGTAAAAAGCGTTTTACTTTACACCAAAGCTGATTGTCAAAAAGTCCGGATCCCTTGTTGCTGGTGGTGTTACCGGGTTCAGCTGCTGCTCTCACACCGGAATGAGAAGATCTCTGAATGGCGACGCTCATATAAATAAATAAATAACATAATTTTAACACACGTAATCATACATCGGGGCTTTAATATTGTTAATAATTATCTCGCTTTACACTACATTGGACGGAGCGCATCATCCGTGGTGAAATACCCATCCATCAGGATTATCAATAACTAGTATAAACACATCACATTTATCCCTGTCTCTGTCTTCCTCGTGAAATAAATGAACGTTAATCTTACCCGATAAAAACATGTTCGCTGCATATCTGAGGACTGCTTGTCCGCTTGATTGATCGCTGCAGTTCATGTCCGTCCTCAGTCTCCATCAAAGTTATTAAAAAAACAAAACTAGTTGAGTTTACGTCCTTGTCTGCTAGTGCAGCCAACCACACAGCAAGCTAAAACCATTTTACTGTCAAATCAACTAAACAAAAGCGATAAAAGGCTACAAACTGGCTTGTTTTGACTAGCTTCACTGGAGTTTCCACGGGTGTAAACGGTCTTTTTGCCGTCCATCATGGCGAAGGGGGCGGTCTCATGAGTGGCGTGACGTCACGTGCAAAGGGTCAACAGCAGCCTGATCAGGGGGTGGGTGGGCATGTCAAGCTACAGCTTGCCTTTTTTAAACCTGGACGTCACAGTGCATTTTCCAACCATCCTGGACAAATATCTCATTGTGAACAGAATCACGACAAAAATGGTGAATGTGAGGGTGATTTGTAAGTCTATGGTTGTCTGGAGTGACCAGCTCAGCAACTGCTTATTGACGACCCTCACGAGCAAGTCAGCCTCCAACAGTCTTCAAGCACTGCTTGAAAACCTACGACTCCCATCCACAATCAACCAATAACGATACACCCAAGAAGTGATGTGAACCACTAATGATGGGAGTAGTAGAAGTAGAGTAGAATTAGCATTATTAGCAACAGTGGAAGCTACACTCAAGAACATCCAGACCGTTCCTTTTTGGAGTTCGGGTTTGGAGTCTTAAAAAAGAAGTGTCAATGGCAGCGCTTTTCTTTTCTTTTCAGCATTGTTGATTTGGTTAGCTGTCGACTTTTAGTGACAAAAGCTTTTTGGGGTGTGTGCTGGTGACGTTAGCTCGTCCTGCTAGAGAGAGACGTCTTGAAGTTTGGCTGACTGAAATCCTGGACTCTAGACTGTGCCACCTCACTAAAGTCCTCACAATGTGTCATGCGTGACAGCCGAAAAACACACAGTGTGGTCCGGGCTTTAAAGTGACAGAACCCTGAAGTGGCTCAGGTACTGAAAATAAAACAAAACTGGTGAGACTGCTAAAAGTTGTAGCGGAGGATCTTTTTCTTCCAGGTGGATCATCTGAACCATTGGTTTGCATAACTGTCAATCATTCTGGTGAACCATTCATGCAAGGCCATCGTGCTTGTTGCTGAGTAGTTTTCGCTTCCTGCGTGTGTGTAAAGCAAAGTTAGGGCTCCTGTCGTCAATTTTCTGCTCAACAGGTAATTTAAACTTCGGCATGCTTACTGCTAGAAGCGAAGCCGGCAGCTACTTGTAAACAGAGAGTGCACGAGGATAACTGGGCGTTCCTTATCATGCGCACATTTTTCAAAAGGTGGAGAGGGCGGTTCTTTCCTGAAATTCAGAAACAACCCTAACCCTAACCCACCACACCTTTAATGGGAGAAGGATTTGATGCTAAAAAAAAGAAAAAAAAAAAAAAAGAAAAAAGAAAAAATAAGTAATAAATAGTTTTTTTATCAACCATATAACTTAAAAAAATTCTAAATATGTTCCCTTTGAACAACTGGGTAAATGCCTCTTCCTCAAAACAGTGATAACATTTGAACCAGATTGGACAATAAAGGATGAGTCATCAGACAGAGCTGTCCTCCACAGTGTGTCAGTGTCAACAGTTCAGTATTTCTATAAAACAGCGCAGAATTCAACCGCCAAGTCATGGTTACCTCATCATCAGATTAGAGCACGCTCAGCATTTTAATCTGAACAGTAACCCCCGAAGGCCCATTGAACGCCATCGCAGTTTCTTACATGTTGATTAGAGGAGAAATACAAAGTGGATGACCTTACTGAAGGAGCAGGCTTGCTCACATAGCTGACAGCTCTTTGGCATGTTGCCATTCAGCTACAGAAGTGTAGGCGGAGTGAACACTGTTGAGGAAATCTTTGTTGCTGATTTTCCTGTGGACTGTCCAAAGGGGGCTCATTGTTGATGTCTCACATTTTAGATGCTAATAAAAATGTTCAACATGCTTATATTATTCAATTCAAGTTTATTTATACAGCGCCAAATCACGACAAGAGTTGTCTCAAGGCACTTCACATAAAAAAACATTCCAATTCACAGTTCATTAAGCCAATCAGAAATAATGTGTCCTATATAAGGAACCCAGCAAATTGCATCAAGTCACTGACGAGTGTCAGTGACTATACAGCAATCCTCATATTAAGCAAGCATGCAGCGACAGTGGAGAGGAAAACTCCCTTTTAACAGGAAGAAACCTCCAGAGAATCCTGGCTCAGTATAAGCAGCCATCCTCCATGACTCACTGGGGATCAAGAAGACAGAGCAGACACACACACACACACACACATGCACGCCCACACACACAATAATGTGTCCATAGTTCTATTGTGATGTCCCAGTAAATACTCCACCTGGTGAGTCTGTTTGGTCTTAAAATGCCTCTAAAAGTGAGTGAAATTTGGCCTCTGTGATTTCCTAAATAATGTCTGGCCGTGCCTGAATAAGAGCATCCAAATGATGTCCTTCTCAACCCTTAATTTGAGTTTTTGCTCTCATCTCTTTTTGCATATGTGTGCGTGTCAATAAAAACAAAAGTCCACATTTATATTTTAGGGTATTTTTTTTACTTGTTTTGTCGTTATTCATTCCTCTTAAGGCTTCAGATCTCTCTATAATTTAAACAGCGGATAGAAGGCCCAGTAGCCTATAATCAGCTTAATTTTAGAATGAGTGGATACGATCTTTTCAGCTGTTGTTCCCATCATAGCATGACTGTCTAAGTTGCAGTTGCCAGCTTGTGACAGTAATTGTTGGCTATGACTGTAAAAGAAAGAACAAGAAGCAGATAAAGAAACCTGCTTCACAGGATTTAACAACGTGAGTCTCTTACTGATTTTCTTCCTTATTTGGAAGTGAAGGCGTTCAGCAGATACTGTAGGCAGATTTAGCCTCGCAATGTAATTTGAAACATTTTTATCATTTTTCTTTAACATTTTCTTGAATGCCCATCAACTTTTACGTAATAAAAGTAGTTTTAAAAAAAATGTATAACTTTTATGTATTTATTGACATTTTAAGTGTTTAACCAATGTTCTAATGATTTTAGATGACCTATTTTATGCAAGTGTAAAGATTATTTAACAAGCTCTCGGGGAGTGTTAGTAAAATTCCCTCAGTGCAGTGCATGCCAACAACACAACAGGTTACTCGTGCAGAGGTTTTGCTCTAAAAGGAACACATTGTCTCTGTAAGCTGAGCTGTGGATCACATTAAGGTCCCAGCTGTGTTACACAGGTGGTGACGTACCTGCGGAATTTTTCAGAGAGAAAAGAAAACACAATCGAGAGTCAGAAATGCAGTTTTATGTTGTGCTGGTGTATATTTGCTTTCTGTTAGCCGTAGAAAATGATTGTCACTGTCACCTTGAAAATTAAGGGTTGACAGAATTTTAGCAGTGCTCATAAATCCAGGGATAAACAGGGAAAGCAGTAGCTTGTCCAGCAATCAGAAGGCTGCAGGTTCAATCCCAGCTCCTGACAGGGTATGCTGCCGTTGTGTCACTTAACCCACCTTACCTGATGGTGGTGGTCAGAGGGACCAGTGGTGACAGCACTCAGCAGCCTTGCCTCCATCAGCACATCCCAGGGCAGCTGTGGCTACAATGGAGCTCATCACCACCAGAGTGTGAATGGGTGAAGGACTGACTGTGTTGGGAAGTGCCTTGGGGGGAGGAGGGGGCGCTTGTAGAACCCTAGAAGGAGCTATAGAAATACAAACCACTTACAGTTTATTCTTAAATGCCAAGGCTTCTTTTCTGAGATAGCACATTTGACTCAAAGCAGGCATGTTTATTGTAACTGAAACACACAAGAGTAAATATTTGATCTCCACATTTGATCCATCCCCTGGAGGAGTTGTAAGCTGTGGACACAGCTGCGTTTGGGAACCGTTTGGTGGTTTTATTTGGAATTTGTGGTGTAATCAATTTCTTTCAAATAACTTCTGACCCCAACATTCAACTTAGATGCTACAGTAAAAAAAAAGGACAAGTAACGGAGTTTTGGGTTAAACATTAAAAGAAGCAGGAATCATTTTCAATAAACTTTATTTTGTCCCCATTTGCCCCCCAAAATGCATCACATCATACAAAACAAGTGATCGGAATTGAACATATCTTTTGTGTCAAGACCGCAACATTTAGACAATAAAAAAAAAAAAAGAGAGAATGTTATAAATAATAAAATAAATAAAGACATTATGTGCCACAAAAAAATAAAGATTCTTTTGAATTGGCAGATGGCTTTCACAATGCTGAATATTTTGGAAACACGTGTACGTAAAATACTTGCATTCCAGGTCACAGTTTTAAGGATACAACTCTGGATCGAGAAAGCAATGCAAACCGATAAGGATTACAGTACAGTACAACGGAGTACAATGTTTTTTTACTGGGTTATACACTTCTATAATAAACCGTTCTAAAAGCTTATATCAGGTAGTGAGTGTAGTGCTACCGGATTTACTTTTAAACCGGGCTCAAAGTACAAAAGTTAAATCCGCCAGTAAAACCCATCTCAAGTCTAGTTTCGCAGCCAGCTTGACATTCATCAACAGGTCATTATTGCACTATACAGACATCCCTCAAAAAGGCACTTTAATCCCTCCTCCCAACCCTCAGTTTCTAACCAGCGGGTCATTTACTGGCACGAGTGTTAAACAGATACACGGTTTGTGAAGTTAAAACTGTTAAAACCAAAACTTTTCTATCTATAGTTTAAAAACAAATAAAATTTAATCAAGTGATTGTATTAAATGGTTTTAATGGCAAAACTTAAGAATTTAAAAAAAGTGCAAATCTGTGTTGCTCCCACAGTCCACGTAACGCATTAGTGACATTTACATCAAATAAAATACGTGACAATAAAACAGAAAAAGCAACAACTCTTGAAGCTTTAACACTGGTATGAAAAAAGGCCAGAAATGTTTTTGTGCATGTGAGGTCAAGGTCTAAAAAAAGTGATTGATAGCTGGCTCAGCTTTAAGAAAAGGGGGGAATGTGTGTACCATGGTTCAAGGAAAAGCCAGGAAGTAACTGAGGGTAGGAGGTTCTTTCCCCAAGTTAAACTGGTCTCGAATCCGAAAGCAGCTCGGCTAAATTATCACAGTTGCAGTCTACAAAGAGGAAGATCTTGCTGCCAAAATCCTTTTGGAAAAGTGAGCCTAAACTGCATTTCAACCACAAATTCAACACCGTTCTGTTACGTTGCATTTCTGAACAGACTTAGTGTTTAGACAACTTTGAGAAGCCGTGCCTGCACAGTCGATTAGCTGCAGGGTCATTGGCTTTCAAAGATTCACCCAAACAGCCGTGGGTTTGTGAGTTCATGTGGAAAAAAAACAAAAACAAAACAAAAAAAAAAAAACAGGAAGTGTCCACTCCGGGGATCCATCATTTCAAACAAGGTATCAAAACCCCTCCAGGTGGACACCTTTGAGGCAAAAGCTGGGTAGGCACAAACCCTCGAGGCAGCTGCTTCTTTGGGGAAACTTCAGGACCGCTCCACACTCGTCAAGATCAAACTAATCATCCAGTAACGATTATATCACTCAGTTGAGTTGAGCAGCTTTTCATCAGTCATGAGACAACACCCGCCCTCTGCACCGCCTTCAGCAATCAACCAGTCAGGCCGAGAAAAGGAAACAGTTTTCAGAACCAGTCCGTCCACTTCTGTTGCCACTATGAGAGGCACAGAGCAGTCCTTCTCAGGCATCCGAGTGGTGCTGGAGCAGCTGGACCACATATTTGAGTCGATGACGAAGCTCGGACGTGCAGCCCATCTCGTTCAGCATGCTGAGGAGGTATGTGTAGGAGACGCGCTCACGGGTGATGTAGGTCAGCAGGTAGGAGTCGTCAGAGGACTTGCACAGGATGATCTTTGTATGGTCCGTGTAGAAGTTAACCTGAAAACGGAACAACAAAAAGGACATTAATATGTAAATTAACACTTTTGTGCATTCGTTTGAAAGATTCGAGGTTTTTCCCCACACCTGTAGAGTTCCGTTGTTGAAGAGCATGACAAGAGCGTGATCGGTCTTCACCCACTGAAGGAGAAGAGGAGGAGAACCAGACACCTGTTCCTCACAGTGCAGATCTCCACCCTGAGAAGGACATCAATGTTTAAGTCCTGGCAGCTTTTTGACAGAATACACCAATTCAGCTTCCACCCGTCCCCCCGCCCCACCGTCCACTCCTTTGTTCCCTCCTCTCCATGATTGATGTCAAGTTGTTGTTATTGTTGTTGTTAGCCTCAAGGGCAACATGCCTATTATCACTTGTAAGTCGCTTTGGACAAAAGCGTCTGCCAACTACATAAACATAAACATTCCACATGCAGCCATTTCATACCTCCATAAGGTTCTGCTCCATGTAGTTCGCCATGAGTTCAACGATCTGTTTCTGACTGCGGAGCTGCTCGGGCAGCGAGTGGGTTGGGAAAGTGAAGTGTTTGTTGTTGGTCAAGCAGTAGTGAACTTTTCTGTTTGAGGAAATAAAAGACGTTAGTTTAAATGATCCCAAACTCGTCTACGTGGGAGCTTTTGTAACCATCGAGTCCCCTTTAGTCTGCAGTGAAGCAGGAAGAATATAAATTGGAGACGTACTTGCGTTGGTCACAGAGACTGAGATGTGTTCCCTCGTTGAAGAGCACACCGATGCTTTTGTTCGAGAGCTGGTAGCCGAAGCCGTATTTGTTCGAGTAGTCGACCCATTTGGTGACCCACAGAAATGACTGAGGCCGGGACAGGCAGGGTGGGTTTCTATTAGCTGGAGAGGAATGAGAGGAAAGGGCCATTAGACACAAGATATCAGGAATCAAAAAATAGGAATACATCTGCAGTCTGAATTTTGCAGACTTGGGTTAGCTGGTATTTCAAGGACCTAATGTCCAAATAATCACATCTGGACATCAAAACGTGACTTTACTAAGTTGCTCCCATCTCACCTGCAGGCATGTTGGCCAGGCAGTTTTTCAGGACTTTCATTGCAGCTTCTGCAATGGCTGTGGGAGTCAGGACATCCTCACACGCTGCAGAATGAATAAGCAAAATAATTGTTATAAAAAGGGTAAGATGAAAGAAACTTTAAATCAAGACCTTTGAGGAGGCGGGGCCTACGTTCAGAGCTGCTAGCCATGGTGCCTTTGAAGGAGCGAGAGATGGACTTCCTGGATTCCTCCTCAGCTGGCGTCTGTTCCAGCGGCACGGTGCTGACCAGCTGACCGGAGGGAGACGGCACCTGAGAAGGAACACGAGATTGATGCATTTTAAAACGAGTTTCAGGACAAACAACAATTATTTGAATGAGTCACTGCATGAGCAGCTTGCTGAAGCAAACAAAACCTCTACCACATCTCAAACAACTGGCACCTGATTTTGGTTTTACACTTGCATTTGCACAGAGGTGAAACCACGGTTACATGTAGCACGGTTGACTTCTAGTTTTAAAAACATGTTTATCATGAAGCAGTTCAATACCAAACAAATACATTGTTTGCTTTCATGTGAGATTTAAAAAAAACAAAGAGTCAAAAGCTCTTTGGTGTAGTCCAGGATGCATTCTAGTTTCTCAGAACAGGCTCATTACACAAAGAAACAACCCAGCTCCTATCACGCTCCAGAAATAGAAACCAGACGAGCCTGATTAGGGCAAGGCTAGATTCGGTCCAGGTTGAGCATCCTAGCCTTTACATCTTCAAACATTTCAGCCACAAAACCCTCAGCAGACTCCTTATAAAAGACTACAGTGCCAGCTTTTTAAACCCATTTTTAATTCAGTTGTGATGCGGTTTTTTTGCAAGAGTTGGGGAAAAGAAAATAATAAAAGATGCACCTCGTTGGGTCCCACGGTTTTGTAGCTTATCTGCCGGTTGATGGAACACTTAACGATGCCGGACACCAGCTTGGAAATGTCTTTGTCATCTTTTTCCTCACATGGCATCTTTTCCACTGCAAAACAAGATAATAAAAATTAGGACACTGCAGTCACACGGAAGTGGGAGTGCTGGAAAATGCTTAATGAAAATCTATTATTGGGTTTGAGCACTCGTTGTCGCTTACCTTTAGCTTTTTTCTTGCCAAAGAGGCTCTTGGCCACTTTGGTGAAGAATTTTTTGGCAGGGCTTGGAGGATAGAGCTCTGGCACCATCACGCAGCTGCTGGGAGGGAGTTTGTCAGGAGTGAAACCCTGAAAAGAAAAACAGGAAAGTGAGGAAAGATCCCACAGATGGCAGAAATGTTGCAATAAACAAAAACACGTGAGCATCAACATACTTTGAAGAACTCGTGGTTGAGGATTTGTTCCAGAGTGAGTCTGTCGCCGGGACTTTTCTGTAGGATGGACGAGATGAGTTTCTGAGCAGAGGGCGAGATTGTGGAGGGCAGGTTGTACCGAACTTCCTTTATACACTTGTACGTCTCTTTCAGGTCAAGAGTCTCAAACGGAGGGTTGCCACACATCAGCGTGTACCTATGAAGATGAAACAAATGTCAGTAAGACGGGATACAAAACGAAGATGCTGGCTGAAACGGAATGTAGGAAACTAGCTGGAAACTCACATGACGCATCCGAGTGACCAGACATCTGACTCTGTGCCGTGACCCTGCCTGTTGAGCACCTCCGGGGCCAAGTAGTTAGGAGTGCCACAAATTGTTCTGGGAAAACAAGCGTTGGCCTGATTTTTATCTCAAAAAGAATGCTAAACAGTCTGTTTTACAAAAGCCACAGAGGAAGCATTCATTTTTCTGCAACAGTCATTCTGGTTTTCCACAGGAAGTAGTCAGACACGTATTGAAACTCTGCTCTAAGTACAGACAACGCTCCCCTGGAAAAGTCTGCAAACTGATGCAAGACTTCTAGGTCAAGGAGGTTTTTAATGTCACCCAAAAGGGACTTTATGGTCTCTTAGCTGGAAACTACCATCATATTCACAAGAGCTGTGGATCTACACAGACCATAAGAATACTAACTTTTTTCTTTGCTCGACCGTCTCCAACTTGGCTGCAAGGCCGAAGTCTCCCAGCCGTAGCTCCATGTTCTCGTTGACAAAGAAGTTCCCTGAAGGAAAAAGGAAAACAAAAACAAAAAAACAATGCAGGTGTCAAGTCAGCATTCCAAAGACGGTATAGGCCTGACTAAAGAGGGATTCCTGGGATTTTTGTTTGTGCGTGTCAGGTTATTCAACCCACATACCAAGCTTGAGATCTCGGTGGAGAATGCCCCTGCTGTGGAGGTACTTGAGGCCGGATATGATCTGTTTGAGGTAATATCGCACCTCCGGCTCGGTCAGCGTGTGCCTTGCCTTCCAAATGTGTGCCAAGGACTGCAGAGACAGATCACGAGAATGAAGACATTACCCTTTCTGCTGAGCCATAACCCCACAGGGCTTTGCACTCATTGTCATTGTCATGTGACATCACAAAAGCAGGTGCTTTCAAAGAAAATTTATAATTGGTGAAAATTCGAGTGCGATAAATACGATCAGGCCACACGTGCCAATGTGATGCAGCACCAGGCTGACTGAGTGTTCTGGAGGTTTCTGAGACTCACCTTCCGACTGCAGAGCTCCAGGAAGATGTAGATGTTTTCTTGGTCTTCGAAATAATGAGAAAATTTCACCACATGCTTGTGAGACAGGGTTCTGTGCAGCTCGATCTCGTTTGTAATCTGTCAATATTGCATATTTGATCAGTTTGTGAAGATGTTGCAGGCATAGACCTTCTCCAAGGAGTACAACAGCATACCTTGTCCCTCTGATGTGGTTTGGAGACCCTGCTCTGAGGGATCACCTTCACAGCATACATTTTGTTGTTGGAAAGGTCAGTCATCTCATAGCATCGAGCAAATCCACCCTGAAAGGAGGAAAAACAAGCATGAGCATGGAAGGAACCGAGTGCAGCAGGTTGAAAACCTGCAATGGCCATAAATAACCGGCCTTAAAAAAGGTAAATCTTTCCCTCGGGGATCAATGCAGCTCCAGTCTGAGCCTTAATGATCAATCATCAATAATTAAGCCAATTCTAAAGAGCTGCGTGTGGAGAAAACAACCAGAAATCATTTAATAAATTAAGATAAGCCACGTCTTTTGTTTGCATGTGCTTCAAATCCTAACAATCCGCCCCAAATTGTTTTCTTTCTTTCTTGATACCATCGAGTTTCCACTGGCATGGGGAGGTTGAAGGATGAAGCAGACCTGCACTGCTGCATTCATTACCCGTGAAAGTGACGGAGACGTTTCCAGCTCTGCGGCAGGCAGCAGAAAAGGGGGAGACGTCGTTAAATCAAGAAATGATAAATAGGCGGGGTGCCCGACGCAGCAACACGTTAGTGCTTTGATTCATACTGCAATTAAAATCGGCCATTTAAAGCGAGGATTACATGAGGTGTTCATCTAACCATGTGCACGCGCGCGCGTACAAACACACACACACATGAGCTGGGCACACCTTGCGCCTGATTCATTCACCAAAACAGAAAGGAAAAAAACGCGCAGCGTCAGAGGGGGAGAGATTAGTCACATCCACCACCACGAGGTTCTTCCCTAAGCCCTTCATACACCCAAGAAATGCCTCCACATCACTTTTAATCTCCCAATAAACGCCAACTAATTCATTCAGACTCTAGATCCGTCTGCCTCAGAGCCAAACCGGTGAACCAAAATGTGTTTAGTCCAATGGAAACCTTCCTACCTTTCCCAGAAGCTTCCCTTTACTGTAGGATTTTCCCGTTTTCGGGTCCGTCACCGCCTGAGCCATCTCCGGTTTGCTTTGTTCCGGTTTGTTCCTGCTGTTTTTCGCCGGAGCCGAGTTGCAATTAAAGGACTGCTGCTGTCCACGCTCCGGAGCGGGCTTGCATAAATCCGCATTCATGATGCCGTGGCAGGAAAAACGCTGCGCCGCCGTGAAACAACCAGACTCCATGAAACACTAACCCGATATAAATAAAAAAATATGTTACTAAAAAAAAATGCCTCAGCAGGTATAATTCAGCTCGGTGACAAGACCCAACAGTCCGCCTGTCTCCATCTGTCGCGTCTAGGCGAGACTCTGCCATCTGCCGGGACATATATAAGCAGGGTGACGTCACGGAGCCAGCGGGGGCGGAGGGAGGTGGCGCACTGGTGGAGAACTTCCAGATGAATTGCTTTATGAAAGTCCCCCATCAAACATGTACCGGGGGCTCAATATGAATGAAACATGTATTGAATAAAAACAACCAGGCTGGGGAATACGCTGCAAGCAGGCCGAAGGATCACGGCCCAAAGCAGGGGCGGCCCCACGGGGGGCCAGGGCCAATCATGCAAATTTGATGCACACTTTTAAAAATTAAAAACAAAAACGACAGTTAAAACTCTCATTTATAGCTATATTATTCAGAAGTACTATTGTTGGTCCTTTGCATTTTGGAGGCACTAGTGTGGAACCCAGATATGTAGCTTTGCTCATGCTCACTGTTTATTCAGGGGAAACAAAATAAATGACAAAAAGCTGCATTTACTGATTACTTTCAGCTTTTCTCCCTTTATCCAGATTCTGTTACCATAAAGCCCAGATTGTATGTGAAATAGATGAGGAAACAGCAAATGATAAATCTGTTTATCCAGCTGGGTCGTGGGGGCAGCAGTCTAGGCAGGACAGCCCAGGCTTCCCTCTGCCCGGCCACTTGGGCCAGCTCCTCTGAGGGAATCTCGGGGCGTTTCCTGGCCAGCTGAGAGACACAGTCCCTCAAGCGTGTCATGGGTCTTCCATTTAGGTCTTCTCCTGGACCATTGGTGAGGGTATTGTAAATCGAAAGAAAAATCAAGAGCTTTGCATTCCGTCTCAGCTCTCTCTTCACCAAGACAGATTGGTACAATGCCCGCATCACTGCAGAAGCAGCACCAATACGTTTGTCGATCTCACGCGCCAGCTTTCCCTCACTTGTGAACAAGACCCTGAAATACTAAGACTCCTACACTTGAGGCAGGACCTCATCCATGAACTGCAGAAGGCAGGGATTTCAAATGATAGCAAAAGAAAAAATAAGTATTGCCTGAATCAGAGTCCAAAAGTGGTTAATATCAAGACCTCTCACCCCCTAGAAATGCTGTTTGAGACTTTATTTCAAGATTTTGTCTTCCAGAATAACGTGAATAAAATTTTTTTTATAAATGAAAAAAAAAGTGTTTTAAAAATGGCTGGAAAACTGTCAGGCCTTAAAATGTATTAATCAAATTGCAATTGTAAGTGTGCCTCCATCCCTACAATATAAGGCTAATTTAATCAGTTCAAACACCATGGTACTCGGTTCTAATTTTCTTTTTCACGTAACCTTAAAGAGACAAAAGATTAATCCAATCCGCCTAAAAATCTATTTTCAATAATAAAACTTCACATAAATCCTCAGCCCAGCACTCACTTTTTTTGTGTCTCCCCCCCCCCCCCCCATTTAGCCATAAGCCAGAATCTTCAGATATCAGCAAACGTCACGTAGCTGCCATCTAGTGGACAAAAAGAATATAGCAACAACTTGACCTATGCAGGATTTAGTTTGCATGTAGTTTTGAGTGTTTATTGAACACCTTGAGCTGAAACGGTCTACATAAGCGGGAAAAGATGCAACTCTAAGTCAAAGAGTATTTTTTAACTTGCTTTAAAATAATAAAATGAAGTAAAACCTGCATACTTCATCCACAGCCAGTATCTGATCATAACCAAACATCAGAAAACAGAAGTACAAAAACTCATTTGTTGTTATATTTGAACGTGACAAGCAGCCTGAGAACTGATGAAAATTAGGACAACGGCTAAAAGAACAAAATTACAAGATACATTTCCACAATGAAAGGAAGCAGTGCTGCTATTCACGGGAATAACATGGATAACTCATCAAAAACACAAAGCACTTTGAGGAATTATATTGAATGGACGAAATCATATGAAAAACACTAACATGCATGCAATGTTTTTAGTATCGTACTGGAATGATGGTGATGAAAACAAAGAGGAAATGGAAAAAATGAAGTGTGAAAGAATAAAAGGCCACACTAACAAACTGGCTGAAACTTTGATGCCATGGTAACAAAGACCAGCCCTACTAAGTAAAGATAGATCACTGAGGAGGTGCTGCCCCCTGCTGGACATCAGCATTGTTTCCAAATCAGGGTGAAAATGAGTTCATCCAGGCTGCAGATAATGTTATTTATGAGTATTTGTATTTAAGTCATGCCTGCCGGAGCTCCCCGTGGGTCTCACTGGCTCCCGCTGTGGAAATTCAACATTTAAAAGTCCATCATTTCTTGCCCTCTTAGTTTCTTCTCTTGGGACTCTGACCAGGCTTTGTTGATAGTTCTCTTCATCTCGTCATCTCCATCCTCATAGATCTTCTTCAGCATGCTCATGAGGCCATCACTGGGGTCTGCATTCTCATCCATATTGGGTTTACTGCCAACAAAAGACAGGGACAAATAAATGAGTGTTACATGTATGCTTTAATAATCTCCTTATATCACTGATGTGTACATGTATTGTTGTATTTAAATGATCAGAAATAACTTTTTTTCTGCATTTAAAAATGTGAAAACGAAAATCTGCAATTGTTGTGCGGCCATGATTTAGAGTAGTTCTGAAAACAACCCGTGTACCACGGGGTCTTATCTAAGACCAATGACTGAACACATTCCACGTCCAGTGATTCATTCTGAACTTACTCTTTCTCTTTAGCCTGTTTTTCCACTGATGTGAGGCACTCCCACTTCTTTGTTGTCTGCTTTTTGCACATGACCAACACCATGTCAGTTTTTATCTGGAAGGAAAACAACAGCCTTTGAGTTTTACAATAACATCCTAACAGAAAAAAACAAAACAAAAAACATTTATTCTGATAGCAAATGCTTCTATTCTTCAGACAGAGACAGAGATACAAAAGACCATGTATTAAAGGCCCAGTGTGTAATATTTGTACTTGATTACTATTGAATTCTATGAGGCAATTCACAAACTTGTCCTTTTCCCATTGCTAATTCTCTCCAAAGTCTACTTTAACTATTTCCATTAGCTAAAAACTGTGGTCGACGCTTTACTGACCCTTTGCACGTGACGTTACGCCACTCATGTGACCGCCCCCTTCGCCATGAAGGACAGCAAAAAGACCGTTTACACCCATAGAAACTCCAGTGAAGGTAGTCAAAACAAGCCAGTTTGTAGCCTTTTATCGCTTTTATTTAGTTGATTTTTTTTTTTTTTTCAGAATCAGAAAAGGTTTATTGCCATTGTTAGTGAACAAACGATTCACAAACTAGGAACTTGCTTCGGTACTAACGTGCTACATATGACATGAATAATATAATTAAAAATAGAATAGAGTAGAATAAAGTAGAATAAAATATAATAACTAGCATAAAACTTTGCTATAAAAAATGGCAGGTAAAGGTAACATGGCCGATAACGTAACGTTATGTCAAGTACCGAAGACGAGCATGGTTGTGTGTTTATAATCTGTTCACAAGTCTAATGGCAGATGGAAAGAAGCTGTTCTTATGGCGAGAGGTTCTGGTCCGGATGGACCGTAACCTCCTGCCCGAGGGAAGCGGCTCAAAAAGTCTGTGACCCGGGTGAGAAGGGTCAGCTGCTATCCGAGTAGATTTGACAGTAAAATGGTTTTAGCTTGCTGCGTGGTTGGCTGCACTAACAGACAAGGACGTAAACTCAACTTGTTTTTTCTTTTTAATAACTTTCATGGAGACTGAGGACGGAGATGAACTGCGGCGATCAATCAATCAAGCGGACTATTGCACCGAAAAAGTTTTTACCAGGTAAGATTAATGTTCATTTATTTCACAAGGAAGACAGGGGCAGGGATAAATGTGATGTGTTTATACAAGTTATTGATAATCCTGATGGATGGGTATTTCACCATGGAGGCTGCGCTCCGTCCATTGTAGTGTAAAGCGAGACAATTGTTAACAATATTAAAGCTCCGATGTATGATTACGTGTGTTAAAATTACGTTATTTATTTATATGAGCGTCAGCGTTCAGAGATCTTCTCATTCCAGTGTGAGAGCAGCAGCTGAACCCGGTAACACCACCAGCAACAGAAGCTGGCAGGGATCCGGACTTTTTAAAAATCAGCTTTGGTGTAAAGTGAAATGTTTTTTACAACATAAAGTTGTAAATCCAGAGGGGTGAATTTAGGCAAAGTCAGCAACATGTTTACATCGGTGAACAGCTGCAGAGAGAACGTAAGCTAACGTTGGTAAGCTAGTTAACATACCACTTTCTATGAGCCCCGGCTAGATGCGCTACTTCTTCTGATAACTGAACTGGGCATGAACTAGTTGAAGGAATGCTGGAGGAGTTTTGTTTTTGTTTTGATCGCAAAAACAATTTCAGGCTCTACTTTCCCCTTTGTTTAGTAATCGCGTTGCTCACTGTTTACATGCTTTTGCCGTCCACCATGGTGGACACACGTGATTAGGTGACATCAGTGCAAAGGGTCAATAACCATACGCCATCTTAAAATACTGTACTAATACTGCTCCATGTTTGCATTTGGACATGAAAGTGGATTAGGGACAGTCTCTCTGCTCAGAAAAAAACATCACATATTTATTAAGAAGTATTATAATAGGACTACTTCACACTCAGACCACCAAACATGAAAACATCAGAAAATATTCCAGAACACTGTAATCATCCTTAAGAGGTTATTGTTATGAGTCATGAGTGCTAATGCTCTGATGAGTTGGTTGTGATTAAATGTTTAGTAGGGCTGCGCGATATTGGGAAAACATGCGATATTCGATAACAATGATTAATATTGCGATGACGATATTACTTGCGATAATTAAAAACTTAACTCAGGAACAAAAATAATCAAAAACAAAGAAATTAAAAAAAAATTTAAAAAATGAGAAAAGCTAAAGATGTGAGGAAAGGGAAAATGAACAAGAAAAGGCGATCAGTGGATCCCAAGAAAAGCAGAATCAGCAAAAAGAGCAGAACAAAGCTAACTCAGGTGTTTGCTAATCATCAAAATTAAGTGCCGTCCGCCTCAAGGACGGGACTCTAACCTAAGAGAACCCACCCAATTGGCCAAATGGATGAAGAGCTCTATTTGATTTGTTAAAAAAAAAACATCATGCTTTCGCCGTTTGACAGAATGCATTATGTGTAGCAAACATTTGGGCTGACCATTCACTGTGATATTTAGCTGTTCTTTGCAATATGCATATTGTGCATGCTGATATCACGATAACGATATATTTGTGATATATTGGGCAGCCCTAATGTTTAGGAAGAGCTGGAGCTGCAGGTAAATGCAACTTTATCTCAGCTGTTTGCTTGTCTACTTTAGTAAACCAGTGCTAAGGGCAAAATGCTGTTCTGACTCTTTAATGCAGCAGGAATGTTACAATATTATGAAATTATCTCATCACGTGTTTCTCCTCCAGCATCCCTGAATCTTCTGGTGCCCAGATCAATATATTGGGATTTATTTTAAACGAGTAAGGCTGTAGCATACTGGTGGCCATTTCTCACCAGAAAAAGTATTTATGTTGCTAACATTAGGTTTTAACGGGGTTAAATACTGATGGTGTTTACACCACACTCAATGTAAAAAAAAAAAAAAAAAAACCCAAAACAACCCCCCCCCCCCCCCCCCCCCCCCAAGAACTTTCAAGCCCAAAATCGCTCTGAGAAGTATAAGCGACAGCACTCATACTCGCTGTGAGCGCCGTTCTGTGTCTGCGTGCTGTCTCTTCAACTGTGACTGGTCAAATGACAACATGTGACTAACACACTAGAACAAAGATCGTTTGTGAACAAGGCAAATCCCCCCTCCTTTCTCCGAATCTCATCTAATTGCCTTTTTGATAAGCATGGGCTACTGTAGCTGCAACACCTAGTCTGAACTGCGTGACACTAAGGAGTCAAATATTTCTACAAATTGGAGCTAAAACAACATTTTGTGTTTAAAAATCATTTAGATATTTTTTTATAGTTTCCTCCCACTGACTCAATTTAAACTCATTGTCTTGCCAAGAACCAGAACTATTGAAACAAGAAAAATAATGTTTATGTTTAATTATTTACTTGGCAGATGCTTTTATCCAAAGCAACGTACAATTTTACATCTACAGGGCATGTTGTGATCTGTGGGGGAAACCCACGCATGCATGGGGAAAACATGCAACTCCACGCAGAAACGCAGCAGCCGAGTTTCAAACTTGCAACCTTTTCGTTGCGAGGCAACAGTGCTAACAACTGCACCACTACGCAATAAAAACTTAGCCATGGGGCAATAAAAATAGTGATTTAATTTGCTGTCATTTCATAAACAATAAAACATGTGCATTTTGGATGTATTTTGAACTCCTTACATAAAGTTTGAGTGAAGAGTGAAATAATAAATGCACCTGATCATCTGGAATGGGTAAAAAAGGGAAGACAGTGTCAGGAGGGTAGTGATGAAAATAACTTCGTAGATAGCTGAGTTCATAAAAAATTGAGCCAAATGTAACGTACAGCTGTTTTTTAATGTAGAAAAGCTTTATTCACCTTTTTATAGCTGTCCTGCACACTGATTGGATGCAACAGGTTGAGAACAGTCATCTGATGGTTTTTGCCATCTAGATCCTTGACCAGCACTGAAAACGATCTGCAAGAGACAACATGTGATTTTTCAAAATATTTCATATGATGAAAAGCACAGCAAACGTTATTTGTTACTCACAAGTTTACCTTTCTGTGAAGTTCACCTCCACATTTTCTGAAGGTATTTTCTGCACTTCTTTCAAATTCAGGTAAATTTTGACAAATTTGTCAGACTGATCCCATGCTGTGAATAAATATTTATATAATTTTAAAAATGGAACAATGTGGAGAATTTGCTACTGCCCTCATAAACCTTTAATCTTGAAAGCTCTTTACCATAGCTAGTGATCTTCACTGTGTACGCTGCTTTGGAGGCTGAAGAAGGTTCTGCTTCTCTCCTAGCTTGTTGCTCCTGCTGTAGCCGTTTGGCTGTGAGTTCTTTCTCCACCTTCTTCTGCTCCTCCTTTAGCAGATCCTGAACCCTTTTCCTTTCTGCTTTCCCCAAGAGGGAACCTAGCTCCTGCAGGTCTGATTCCAGCTGACTAATCTGTTGGACAAAAAAGAGGGTGGAGGTAGTGGTGAAAGCAGAGAAACAGATGAACACACATTTTCAGTATAAACCACGGTAAAGGGTATTAACAGTTATAATAACACATTAAAAAAAAAATATTTTTTACATCAAGATTATCTTGTTATCCAATCAACAATATGTATACCAGGAAATAAATGTAGGACTCAGACATATGGCTCAGACTTTTTGCTGCAGCTGTAAATGCAACTTTACGTAATCATTGAGAGCACAAAGCCAAACAAAATACAGCTAATCACAAAGAATTAGTAGCAGCAGCTAAGACGTAAGACGTCTTTGAGCATGCAAAACAGGGATGTCCCGATACAACTTTTTTCACTTCCGATACGATACAGATTTTACAGCCTTAAGTACTGACCGATACAGATATCAATCTGATATGAAATCAGCACAAATCACACATATTTTTACCTATTTCATAGCGTGAAATGCATAAAAGACTTGATCAAGTGATTTTATTCAAACAGAAAAGAAAAGTCAACCTTTGGTTGCAAAAATGTGGAGGGCAGGGACTAGGGCCTGACCGATATATCGTCCGGCCGATATTATTGGCTGATATTGGGGTCATTAACAGTATCGGCTATCGGCCAAAAAGACGGCCGATATCGCGCTACCTATCCAGCAGATGGCGCCTGCTTTATGAACTCATGTTGTGTGGCTCCACTCCTTTGAACACAAATTATTGTTTTGGAACTTTTTTTTTTTTCAATTTATTCTTATTTATGTTTCTTATGTGCAATTATTTCCTGTCCAGGGTGAATAAGTTCACCAAATTAACTTCCACAGAGTGTTACTTTGTTACAAAGCACAAGTATTACGTTTTATTTATTGCTGCATTTTTATTATTTTAATATTCGTATAGGGATCTTCTGTCCCTAAACTTGTGTGTGTTGTTAGATTCCCCAGAGTTAGCTAAGTCAGAAAAAACATTATGTAACCAGTTGTTTTAGCATTAAGCAATGGAAGGGAAGGCTTGCATTCACCTACATAAAAAACGCTACAGTGTATGTGAATTCACTTACATTGTTTTATGCTAAACTAAGAAAACCAACTGCTGCCAGATCATATTGGGCTGGTTATAAAATGCTTTTTCTGACTTGTCCAACTCTGGGGAATCTTAACAAGACACAATTTTACTGAGTGGTGGAATAATCCTTTAAGTTAAAATGTATTTGTGGAAACCACAGTATACAAGAAAAAACTTGAATGTTAGATTTATGCTGTGACTGAGTTTGTGTGTTCTGTTGTTTTTGAGATCTGCTAAATAAGTCTTATTTGCATTACTTGGAAACCCTAGTGAGTTATTGAGACAGTTCTTTGGTGTGTAATAGCGAAATAAGTAAGCATCAAAAAGGCAGAGAATGAAGGGTTTAAGCTTAAGAAAATTTTATTTCTTTTTTTGTGAGGGAGATTTACCGGCCATTATATCTGCTATCGGCCTTTGTTAAAAGTTTTATATCGGTATCGGTCCCAAAAAAGCATATCGATCGGGCCTTAGCAGGGACATAAGAAAAAAAACACAATATTGTTCATTGACCAACTGCTACAAGTCGAGTGTCTAAAGTTTAAAGTTCACACACTCCAAAAATCCTCATGCAATGTTTTGTGATCCTGCTTCAAGTGCACGATGAGGTTGGACTTAAGTCTCTGCAATGGCTCTCATTTAAATGCCATGCAGAATTTTTTATTTTTTGAAGCTCTTAATGGCTCAGCTCTCCTTTACATACAGTCCAGGGTTGTCACGGTAACCGGTGTAGCGGTAAACCCCGGTAAAAAAGTTGACAATAATAATAACCTCTCGTTTAAAAAAAAAAATAAAATATTATCTTGGTGGATTACCGTGGCTGCGGTGTAGGCGCAGTGACCCTTACCAGCCACCGTATCATCTGAAGTTGCCGGCGGCACATGCGCACTTTACTGTTTACAACCAAAACTTTCTTGAAGCTAAAGCTGAAATAATGGTTAAAGGAGGAGACGGCTGCGCTCAGGACATTAATTATCCCTCAAAGAAGACAAAGTCGGAAGTATGGGCATTTTTTGGATATTTGAAGAATGCCGAGGGACACTTGCTAGAAGACAGCTATCCTGTTTGCAGCACATGCAGAAAAAGTGTCTGTGAAAGGCAGCAACCCTTCAAATCTCATGACACATCTGCATGATCATCACCCACAACTCTACAATCAATGCAAGGCAAGTTGACGTTAGTGTTTTAGCTAAAATGCGTGATCCGAGGACTTGGGTTGAGGAATAAAGCAACGAATCCAAGATGAGATCCAAAAAGCTGTTAAACTCAGTGAAGCAAGCCATCATTAGGCTGAAAAAACAAAAGAAACCTATCAGAGAGATAGCAAAAACATTAGGCGTGGCCAAAACAAGTTTGGAACATTCTCAAAAAGAAGGAACACACCGGTGAGCTCAGCAACACCAAAATACCTGGAAGACCACGGAAAATAACTGTGGTTGATGACCGAAGAATCCTTTCCCTGGTGAAGAAAACACCCTTCACAACAGTTGGCCAGATCAATAACGCTCTCCAGGAGGTAGGTGTATCTGTGTCAAAGTCAACAATCAAGAGAAGACTCCACCAGTGTGAATACAGAGGGTTCACCACAAGATGTAAACCGTTGGTGAGCCCCAAAAACAGGAAGGCCAGATTAGAGTTTGCCAAACAACATCTAAAAAAGCCTTCACAGTTCTGGAACAACATCCTACGGACAGATGAGGCCAAGATCAACTTGTACCAGAGTGATGGGAAGAGAAGAGTATGGAGACGGAAAGGAACTGCTCATGATCCCAAGCGTACCACCTCATCAGTGAAGCATGGTGCTGGAAGAGTCATGACGTGGGCATGTATGGCTGCCAGTGGAACTGGTTCTCTTGTATTTATTGATAACTGCTGACAAAAAAAGCACAATGAATTCTCAAGTGTGTCAGGCAATATTATCTGCTCATATTCAGCTGAATATTTCACTTGCTGAAGACAAAACTGAAGGGAAAATGCCCCAGGAACAAGCAGGAACTGAAGACTGTTGCAGTAGAAGCCTGGCAGAGCATCACCAGGGATGAAACCCAACGACTGGTGACATCAATGTGTTCCAGACTTCAGGCTGTAATTGACTGCAAAGGACTTGCAACCAAGTATTGAAATGTCTAAGTTTGATTTATGGTTCTTATTCTGTAAAGTGACCTTGGGTGACCTGAAAGGTGCTTTTAAATAAAATGTATTGTTATTATTATTATTAAGTAATTAATTAGCAAATCTAACATACAGTCTGGATAACTGTTCGTTTATCCAGACATGTCAGAAAAGGGGACCGCACATTTGCACAACATATATTGGTATTGGCCAATGTTAGTAATTTTTTTAACACATCTGTTTCGGTTGAATAAGTAAAACTGGGCCGATATTAATAACCACTATTTTTCCCAACATGTTTCCATTTGTGTATTTTTAAGAGTTTGAGGGGGGGTGATGATGTGTAATTGTTTAGTTTCTAGGGCTGGGGGTAAACGATTATTTTTAAAACGCTTATTCTGACGATTATTTTATCAAATAGTCGACTATTCTAATGACTATTAGGACAATTAATCTAATGATTATATTGCTATTGCACAGTTAATAAAAACCAAAACACCTCAAATAAATTCCTCAAAAAAATTGATTAATTGGTACTGTAAGAGAATAAACACTACAGGCCTTCCATTTTGTATAACACTGCTTTTATTGTGTTGCGGTTGGTAATGTTCTGGTGACATGTAGAACTTGGGAGTGCAGGCTGCAGCCTGAGAGGTGGTTGGAGACGGAGTGTCTCCATGCTGCTTTGCTTTAGACACTTATGAGCGTGAGGCGAGTGGTGTTACGACTCTTCCTGGGGAGTTTGGCTCGTGTGCAAAAAGGAAGGGACAATAACGTGGGATTTAAATGTTAAAATGATGATCAGGTTTATTTACAACTACAAAAAAACATAAATCTTTCCATCCACAGGTTGGGAATAATAAAACTAATTCTGCCTGTGGGGAATTAAAACAAAAGTACAAATAAGTAGGGATGTCCCACTGGGCAAAGATCACAGGGTTCTGGACCAAAATAAGGATCTCCAAAGGTCCAAACTCTAAACTGGGTGGTTAAACCAAACTCAAGGTGATATTTTAAACTAAACCGAAAACCCACAACACTCTAAATGTAATAAAAGGGAGATCTGCACCACAAAAAAGATGAACTCTAAACCAAAACGTAACAGCCTATCCAAATGCAAGAAGCTGTTAGCGAAAACACTAACAGTAGCTTTACCAACGATAAGTTCAAGTTACCAAGTTTAAATAAACCAAAAATGCCCAGCAAACAGACCAGCACGCAGGAGAGACTGCTATCACAAAAACAGCTCTCCTAATGTGTGAAAGAAGCTCCCTTTATGAAGGGAGAAACGCTCCCGGTGATTTTCTACATCTGCGGTAGAGACGAAGCAGCGCATCTGACCCCGGGAGTTGTTGTCCGTTGCCGGGAGATGAAGGCGGGCAAAACAGGAAAGGAATCTAGTAGCGGACGGACATTGTTCCGGGTCTTCGGTATTTGGCGGAGATGTTAGTGAAGGCGGAGAAGAGGGCGAACTAGAGGAAAAACAGGCAGATTCCTCCTCTATTTACAAACTCTTGGGGATGCAAAAAGTGGGCGTGGTGCGTCGACTACCGGATCTGACGACGAATTTTTAGAATCGAGCCATCGACGTCATCAACGCTTCACTACAGCCCTGTTACATGACAGTAATGGTAATTGTCTCAGAAGCATTCAAGTAGTGTGTGTGTGTGTGTATATATATATATATATATATATATATATATATATATATATATATATATAAACATATCATTATCAGCAAATATCAGCCCAAACATTTCATATCAGTGCATCGTTTTGAAAAAAAAAATTCTTTATCATATGGGTGTTCCCAATTTCTTCTTCCATCAATCCATCCATTTTCTGAACCCGCTTGTCCACGTAGGGTCGCGGGGGGGCTGGTGCCCATCTCCTGGACTAAGAGCCAGTCCATCGCAGGGCAACACAAAGACACACAGGACACACAATCACACATGCGAGCGCGCACACACACTGACACACACACACACACACACACACACACACACACACACACACACACACACACACACACACACACACACACACACACACACACACACACACACACACTGTGTGGACTGTGGGAGGAAGCCGGAGCGAACCCACGCATGCACAGGGAGAACATGCAAACTCCGAACGGCATTGAATTCACAGATAAAAAAAATGTGGGTTCAACTTTCATTTTGGAACAAATTTTCAAGCAAGGGAAGGGCATGATCTGAGCATGCAGGAAGACTGACCCATCATAAACCTTTGTCAACTGTGCTGAAGAGAAAAGGTACAGAACCGTCGTCGTCTTCCTCCGCTTATCCGGGTCCGGGTCGCGGGGACAGCATCCCAACTAGGGAGCTCCAGGCCGTCCTTTCCCCGGGCTTCTCCACCAGCTCCTCCGGCAGGACCCCAAGGCGTTCCCGGACCAGATTGGAGATGTAACCTCTCCAAAGTGTCCTGGGTCGACCCGGGGGTCTCCTGCCGGCAGGACATGCCCGAAACACCTCCCCGAGGAGGCGTCCAGGAGGCATCCTGACCAGATGCCCAAACCACCTCAACTGGCTCCTTTCGATCCGGAGGAGCAGCGGTTCTACTCCAAGTCCCTCCCGAATGTCCAAGCTCCTCACCCTATCTCTAAGGCTGAGCCCGGCCACCCTACGGAGGAAACTTATTTCAGCCGCTTGTATTCGCAATCTCGTTCTTTCGGTCATTACCCAAAGCTCATGACCATAGGTGAGGATTGGGATGTAGATCGACCGGTAAATCAAGAGCCTGGCTTTCTGGCTCAGCTCCCTCTTCACCACGACAGATCGGCTCAGCGTCCGCATCACTGCAGATGCTGAACGAATCCGCCTGTCGATCTCCTGATCCCTCCTACCCTCACTCGTGAACCAAGACCCCCAGATACTTAAACTCCTCCACTTGAGGTAGGACCTCTCCCCCGACCCAGAGTTGGCAAGCAACCCTTTTTTCGTCGAGAACCATGGTCTTAGATTTGGAGGTGCTGATCCTCATCCCAGCCGCTTCACACTTAGCCGTGAACCTACCCAGCAAGAGCTGAAGGTCAGAGCTGGATGAAGCTAGGAGGACCACATCATCCGCAAAAAGCAGAGACAAGATTCTCCACACCACGGCTGCGCCTAGAAATTCTGTCCATAAAGGTAATGAACATAACCAGTGACAAAGGGCAGCCCTGGTGGAGTCCAACCCTCACCGGGAACAGGTCTGACTTACTACCGGCTATGCGGACCAAACTCACGCTCCTCTGGTAAAGGGACTGAATGGCCCTTAACAGAACGTCACCCACCCCATACTCCTGGAGCGTCCCCCACAGGGTGCCCCTGGGGACTAGGTCATAAGCCTTCTCCAAATCCACAAAACACATGCGGATTGGTTGGGCAAACTCCCATGCCCCCTCCATCACCCTTGCAAGGGTAAAGAGCTGGTCCACAGTTCCACGGCGAGGACAAAAACCACATTGCTCCTCCTCAATCTGAGATTCAACTATCGATCGGACCCTCCGGACATGTTTTTTTGCCACGTCAGTCTACGGTGTTCTACTTCTGATTGACTAGATGCAATCGTGAATCTCCTCCGTGTTGTGAATCATGCGCTTGCCAAATTTAGCACGTCTGTTTATAAGAATGTTCTCGTTAAGAGAAAAACGGCACAAATCCATAACTATGTTCCTCATTCAAAAAGGGACAATTCCGCGGAGAAAAATATACAGACGAGCTGTGTCCAGGAGAATGTAACGCGGCATAGTTGTACGCTTTCAATTTTTAAATACAGGAGAAATTCAGAAAGTCATTTTTTTACTATTAAAAGGCTGTTTTACTGTCTAACGCTGTAAAATGCCTCACAACACATTTTTATCAAAAATAAATGATCACTGTATATTGTTAATTAATTCAAATAATGTGATATTGATTTAGTGTTGTAGTGTGTGTGCTGCTTTATTTTATATGTGTACTTATTTCAGTCTATTTGTGTTTCTTATGCAGAAAAAAACAAGCAACGATGGACAACTACATGGGGAACAAGACACTCACCCCCCAGCAATGCATACCACTTACAAACTCTATTCTAGATTCTACATTATTTTTTATGGAATTTACCTCTTATATTATGATGCCAAAAAATTATTCTGGACTGATATTTTGCACTGTTTAGCTCATTTTACACCGCTGACTGTGTTCATGTGCAATAAAATAGATTGCAGTCAACTGCACAATTCTCTTATGTTTGTCTTTTTCTTAACTGAAATGTATTCATCACTTGTATAGGTTAAATAGCTAAACAATAACAAACCGATTGATCGAAAAAATAATCGACAGATTATTCGAATGCGTTTCCTGTAACAAAATTAAGTTGGCCTTAAGCTCTTTACAAAATAAAAAAGGTGCCTTGTGCTTTATGGTGTTTTTCAACCCTCTAACATTCAAAGAAGTTAACAAAACTGACATACCAAACAAAACAAATGGCTAGGAATGTTACCTAGTTTATCCGCTCTGGATTTATCCAAACAGCAGGAATAAGCAATACTGTCCAACTATATTATAGCTCATCCAAAACTTCCACCTTTAACAACCAGAAGATAAAAAACATTGGGCTATTTGGTCAGGTGAGATCTCATCCTCAAAATAGCAGCCCATCTTAACAGATGAACAGTATATTAGAAAAAAAGTGTCTTGGTTCTTTCCTGAATATTGAAATGTATCATATTTCTAACATATATAGACCTTCCTCCCATCGATGATGGCGTATCCTTCCTTCAAGAAGGCTTTCTTTCCACGTCGTCTGGCTCCCTCCACCTGGGGTCACAGCTTCTCCCTCACCTCCCGATCCTCTTTGGAGAAGTCAATTTTAAAGATGATCTTCTCCTTGTATACTCTGGCCTCTTTCGAAATCTTCCACACTTCTTCCTTCATCGTACGTGACACAAACTGAATGATGATGGGTCTTGGCATGGTATTCATTGCATCTTTTCTTCCCCAAACGGTGAACGGTGTCCACATTCCTGCTGAGCTCGTCGACAGACACGGGGACCACTCTTGTGAGTATGCCGATAACTTCCTTTCTGATTTTCTCTTCCTCTTTTTCAGCTAACCCAAAAAGCCTGAGGTTCCATCTCCTCTTGTACCGCCCAGCTTCCAGTACCTTCTCTTTCAGAGCTGTTTGACACCCAGAAACTCAACTTGTTTTTGTAGATTAGTGATGTTTTCTTAGTTTACATTAGTTTCTTTCTTCGTGTCTTCTGCGCTTTTTTCGATGTTTTGTAGTTTGATTTCTAGAGCATCCAACTTTTTTTAGAACTTCTTGAACATTGTTCATTCTCACTTCAATGTTCTCCAACTTCCCGTCCAGCCCATCAAATTGTTTCATCAGGATCTCCATCATTTGTACACTCCTCTCTTGCCTTCACACTTCTCTTCCTCAGCTTTTTGGGTTGCGGACTGTTCATGTTAGTTTGACTGTCGTCGAGATTATCATCAGCTTGCTCTATATTTTGGGGTTCGTTTTCACTCATATCATCCATCACAGCAATGCCATAATTATGATAGACGATGCCCAAGTTGTTCCATACTCTCTCTCACAGTAATTAGCTCTTCAAAAGTTCTTCAGTTTGTCAAAAACGAATTAAAGTTGCTTCTAATACGTTATGGCTTGTTTTTTTTATTTTTACCTTTAAACAACGTTTGGACTTGGAAAAAACTGATTTCCCTTTGCAGCCTGCTGGGGACCAACTGCTCACTCTGCCATCTTGTTTCGTCTCCACCCCGAGCAGACCCTGTACCGACACCGGGAAGCAAACCCAAGACCTTCTCGCTGCAAGGCAACAGCTCTAACCACTGCGCAGCCCCAATTTCTTCTTAACTATTTTAATTCTGCATTTAATCTTGCTGGATGTTTTTTGTTTATATAGCTCTGGCTATGTTTTATTATGTTTATATTTCAAATGACAGTGGTGTTCCTTCCATTGAACTGTATGACTTAATGCTAAATCTTTTTATAAACTCTGTTTAATTGCTGTTTTTTTTGTTAAGCAATTTTGTCAAATTCGGAAGTTCTTAAATGTGCTATATAAATAAAATGGATTTATTTTCAGAGTTTACTAAAAATGTCTCGATTTTCAGCACGGTTAGTATGAAGTTCCTAGAATGTTCTGGTAAACTCAAAGCTAAAAGCTACGTTAGCCGTCCAAACTTCTGTTCTGACACACGCAGCTAGAATCACTATGAACACTTTCAGAAATACAGTCGTCTAACTTTAGGAAACCGAAGTTTAATGCACCCAATAACAGCAAAATGAGAAATCCTCACGATACTGATGCTAATGACGAGTGCATGATCGCTTATGGACACGCTGCAATGCTAACTACGTCTAGACAGAAAAAATAGCGAGCCTTGTTAGCTTTTCTCTCAGTAAAACAATAGTCACCTGTTCTGTAAGAGACATTTCGGTCTTGTCCTTGACAGATGCGTTCAGATTTTCTCCAGTGAAAACCACCGTTGTTTCGGCGTTCTGTAAAAGCAGTATTCCAACCACCAAAAAAAAACCTTTCTACTTTTGGATCGTTTTCACAGTTGACTATCTACTGCCACAGCTCAGTAGCGCCACCCTCTGACCTAAAGTATTAACAGCAATACATTTCACTTCAAAACTTAATACAATGGCCATTTCATATTATTTGATTACCGGTAGTTTTATTTTATTTAAGGTAGAAAATACTTATAAATTAAATTCTGAACTTTATTAATATAAAATATGAATGAAAATTAATCAGCTTTTCTCCAAACTAAAATGTTATTTTTGTCTTGATCTGCTAAATTAATTTGAACTATGAACAAATTTTAATTTCTGCTAATGTCGAGTACATTTAACAAGCAAATTTAATAATTACCGTAGAAACTAACACATATCACAAATAATAGTTCTAGCTTTCTTTAAGCAAAAGTTCACATCCAGTAGAAGTTTTATGGAAGGGTTATTATCAATTAATATCTTACCTGTTGTAAACAACTTTTTCAATGGCCTCAAAATGGAGAAACAGTAACATTCTGATTGGAAAAACAAGAAAACAACTCGACACAGTGGGGCCAGATACAGCATGTCTTACACATTTAAAACCTCTAAATCGTTTCACCATTAATTCACATAAGACATTGCTTAAAACGTTTTCACATTCACACAAACCTACTTTAAAAGACCTGAATAATTCCTTTATCTGACAAAAATGAATGACCAAATATACACTACATTTAAGTGTAACTGAAATTCAACACAGTAAACTAAATATAAGATTTTCTCCATATTAACTGCCTAAAATAAAAATGTGCTTTTTGATCAGTTATTAGATTTCATTAAGTAAATACATTCTGAGATAGAAAATAGATTTGTTGTTGACAACATTCACAACACTATGAATAATAAGGAAAATGAAAGTTTGAGAAAAACAAAGTACTTTGATACTTTTATTGATGCACAATAAGTGAATAGACATCTGAACCTTGAGGGAGTATTTTCCTTATTAGCATTTTAAACGTCTATAATTTGCCACAGGAAAGGAAAAATGTAGAATAATGAACATAAATGAATTACATCATGGCCTCCTCCTCATGAACACATCAACAGCCTGTCATTAGTCTGACTGACATTGTCCAGAGTCACCACCTTGCCCTCAGGATCCCAGACATCTGATTGTGGTCAGCAAGATGGCGGAAAACGATACGACTCAGCCGCCATCTCTTCTTGACTCCTCGAGGACGGGAAGTCAACACACACCTGTTACGTATCCTCACTGGGCAGCTGTCTCTGGGTAGCGCTGCAATCTCTTTGTCTGCCAGCTCCTGCAAAAATAGCATTAGTTAAAAAACCTTTGATTCAGTTGTACTTTAAATAACTGGAAAATACCATTTAAAAATATAAGTAAACACACTTTACCTGAAGCTCTTTGGGTAGGATAGTGTTCTTCCTCAGAGAATTAATTCGTAACCTCTGGTCAGCGTAGTCAAAAGCCATCTGTCTTCTCTTGACGTCTCTCAGCATCCTCCAGTCAACATAATAGCATCTGGCTTGCTCCACTGCTCCCCAGCAGCTCCTCAGCGCCTGAACACAGTCAACACGAAGTCATCAAACTATTTGTAAATTATAATTAACAGAGTAAACATCACAAAATGAGTTTTAGCATTGTAAAACCGGTAAATGGGAACGGTCTTGAGCTCATCTGTTCTGTTGAGTTCATGCTGGCATCAAATCAAATTGAAGTGATCGTTTTGCCAATTTAGTTTTATAAAACAATGTTATTTGTTGTTAGATAATCGCGCCCCCCAAAACCAAGTTATTTATCATTAAGCTAGCGAGAAAGCAGTTTGGCATTAGCAATAAAACAGTCACTGTTACGTTCTGTTCATTTTCAACAGATGTGCGTAATGCCATGTAAATACAGCTACCTAAAGCCATAGTGTCAACATATACAGCAAGAATAAACATGGTACCTGTTTGGGTGCGCAGATCGTTGAGTAAAGGGCATTTAACCCCAAACATGCTAACTTGTTGGCAGCCATGATGGATTTGAGTTTCTTCTTCGTGGTCACCAAGGAAACGAAGATGGAACAATGCTGCCCCCTTCAGGTCACAGAGAGGTCTTAAATCCCTTACATAGGAGGAGAGACAAATATATTTTGCCAGTCGTGTCACTTTCTTTAAAAACGTTTCTTTAACATTTCAAATATGTATTGTCTCAAGAAGAGCAAATCTCGCAATTTCTGAAAATGTAAGTTTTAATGAACCCAGGATTTTACTGGTTAAATTTATTTTCTATTCAGAATCAGAAAATGTTATTGTCACTATATGTAAGTACAATGAAACTGGTCTGAACTCAGACGGCATATGTGAAAGTAAAACCTATAGTATACCTATTCTAATCCGCCAGATTTACTATCCCTGTTCTCTGTTTGAGACACTGCTGCCGTTAAATTGACTTGAGCACCACACAAGTCTGTCAAATTTAAGATAATTTTGTCTTTGTTAAGGTAATTTTTACTTTCCCCTGAAAATAAACGAAACAAATATCTGCTTGGTATTTAAACGTCTTGTAAAATAAACTAATCACCAACAGAGGGCAGTGTAGCTCTTTGATGCCTTTAAACTCCCATCAGCCACCAGAATATTTACCTGTTCATGGCGACAGAAAACACAGGATGAAATCCTTCCACACCCTTGGTGTTGTTGTTGCCATACACGTTTTGTAATGCGAAATATGTAACACACAGGGATTCGAAGGATCTTGTCATGAAAGTTTTATAAAAAAAAGAGACTTGAGAGATTTGGATGAGATGTTCTGGTGTATAGAAAATGTAAGCAGCTCCTTCACAACACAAACCGCGGAAACCGTGTATTATGGTTTTGCTGCAGGGTGATACATGGCAAACAACATTAAACTTATTTCTGATCCCTGAATTCCATCTTTTTTCTTTACAGCACCAGAAGACAGCAACTCTTTATATCCCTCTATTATAAAAATGGGACTGTCAGTATGGACAGAATGTTTTCATCAAGTTTTTAAAAACGTGGAAAAACAGTTTTGTCATTTGACAGCAGCAGTATATCATAGTTAAACTGCTTTTTAGCCTTCAGATGGTTTTGGCTCACATATCAAACTCCCGATAGTGATGTTCCAAGATCACGAGAAAGGCAAAATCATTACAGAGATGTTGAAAACAAAAAAACATATCCAGAATTGAACTTTCTAAGATTCTTTACTCAAATATGTAAATGATACACAAGGTTACTGGGTTATTTAAGGAAAAAATGCTGTTTGATTTCAGATAAACTCACAAATCATGGTCATGTGCACTTTGCACATAAGTTAGATTTGCAAACTGAATTTAGCTAACATTTGCATGATTATTGCACTGAGTATAACATTTTCACCAACCTTATTTGACTTTGCTGGAACAGCTGTGCAGTTGCGAACTAGACAGGAAATCTCAGGTCCTCCGGTGGAATAAAGGTGAAGACTCGGAAGGTCTGGAATCAGACGTTAAATCAACATGCTTCTGAGATAAAAGAGCATCACTCACAGAAACAACAGACAGGTGGCATCGTCCATAAATCTGACAGAAGCCAAGCGAGCACGGTCAACCCAATGACACACTGCAGCTTAAACTACTTGGAATATTAGTCATAGTTGCATCTACACATAACAAGGAAGCATGCTTTTGGAAAAATTCACATGAAACTAAATCAGCTTTACATTTAAATCTGTGTATTTTCAAAATAATTACAAATTACAACACAGAGCAGTTCTTACAGTATTTGCTTTAAAGGCCGGAGGTCCAAAGGTTGCAGTGTCACGCATTCAAAATAATCCAAATCTCTTCTGCAGTCACATCTAATTCCCTTTGTTAACTTCTCTGATGTCAATCACCAATGGCTGCTCTAAATGTGGTCTCTGCATTCTTTCACGCCACCCTGAACATGATGATTAAAGCAAATAAATCCCCCTCTGGCTGATCAAACATTGTTTTGATTTACTCTGTACCTCACCGGGAAGAAAATGTGACAGGAACAGATGTCTGTGTATTTTCTTTCTGGTTATTATAAGAATGTTTTGAAGACGAAGGGAAGCAGTAATTTGATCCCATCATCTCACAGCTTTGCTATCTTAATGCCCTGCTGATAAAATGTCAGGTAGATGGTGGCAAAGCTATTAACTTCACGGTTACAAACGGCTGTCTTCACCAGCTTGGCATTTTGATGATCTGCTACTCAGCTTGTAAACAGTAAACAAAGTGCTGTCTTTTTCTGAGTCTAGGCTTTTTACACTTCTGACCTTGTTGAGTTCATGTGTTAACGTGTTAAAATAAATCATTGTGGTTTGTAGCTCATGTTTTGAGCAAGATGACGCAGGATCAATTTTCATTTGTCCTGTTTTTTGTATAAAAATGTAAAAATATATCTTTAAAGGTGCACAAAGTAAGAATTACATCTTGTGGTCAAATGTGGGTACTGCAATCCATTTTCAAAACAGAAGAAGCTTTCTCACTCTTGTTTGTGAGTTTCATGGCTGTTACAGATCAGCACCATGACATTCTAGATGACAAACGAAGACAAGTCATCCACATTAAATCAATGAATACATTAAACAATACATTTTATAGTACAATTGAGTTGTTGGTAATTGAAAAAGTGCCATGGTCCGTGGTGAGCTTCCTGCCGGTAACCCTGTTTTCCTCTGAGCGTTGCTCACAGGTGGGCGTGTCTGAGAGCTTCCAGCTGCAGCTAATCCTGTCATCAAGGTCCAGGGGATTTAAGGAGCAGTGTGACACTTCACTCCGCCAGATGATTACTCTGTTTTGGGTAGCTCTAGCCTTTACCTGTCTCGATCCTGTATTTTGCTAGTTCCTGTGATTTTTTTCGCCTGTGATCTTGTCGCCAGAAAGACCCTGACAGCTCTTCTCTGTTCCTCTCCAGGTTTTTGCTCCACACTCCATTATTCCATATCCACCCGGACTTCTACAACCTGATCACACTGCCTCCTCCTCTGGCCGTCCGCTCTCAGCCGCTCACCTGCACTCATCAACCTCCGCTCCTTTCTCACCTCTGGATCAAACTGTTACTTCACCTTCTGGATCTCCCCAGCTCACCCGAACCTGACCTAATCCTCCCCGAGCCTCTCACCACTACCTGCAATCAGTAAGCTCCCGTCTTAAGAATGTTCTCTGTCATTCCCACCGAATATTCACTCTTGTCTCCCTCCTCAGAGTCTCCTCCTGGAATCTTGCTGCCAGTCCTGCACTTCGTCGGTTCCCGTTTCTCCCTTTACTCCTCATTTAATAATAAAGAACGTTTTTACATACTTACCGGTTCTCTGTGTTGTGATTCTGCATGTCGTGGGTCAAGAAACTGCCACCCACCTTGACAAAAAGTAACTTGAGACGTTTTTAAAGCCGACTATTCGCAGGGCTGCAAACTATCACACATTGAGTGTGCGACAAACTTCTGACTACCTTCACACGCTCTCACATCACACCTTCAGTATGGAGCCTGAGTCACGCCTATCTCAGAAAATAACTTTAATGGCCATTTGGGAATATACTTGCTTTGTAATGATGCGTACGTGTGTTTAAAATGGCAGCCTTGCATAACTTGTGTGTAATTGAAGCATCGTATGAGAGTGTCCTTCAAAATTAATGCCACGAATTCGCATGCTGCAATATACGAGTAACCAGAGGGCAGAGATGACAAAACGGGCAAGACACACTTGCCATGGTCACACCGTCTCTGGCTTAAAGTTATTTCTATCTGCAACAATGCTGCTGTCTTTTTTTCTTCCATGATCCTAAAATGAACCAGTTACTAATCTCTATTGACACCATGTTTGTTTTGGTTGCACCCTACAAACCCGAGACTCCATCTGGTCTGAGTTCTCTACTGTGCCGCCTAGTGGAAAACTCTAGTACTATGTGTAGTGCAGCAGCAATTTTGTAAACAATGCCTGCTGCCAGTGTCAATGCAACGTTAAAAAGCTCCCTATTCTCACTGAAAAGGCGAGTCCCCCTGTTACATGTGAGGCCCGGCATGAGGCCTCCCGCCGTAGACAACGAAAGGATATCACAGGAGCGCATGCTCCTTCCCCCATTTGGCAGACTTGTAGTGACCCTTTGCACCAACGTCACCTAATCACGTGGGTCCACTATGCTGGACGGCAAAAGCATGTAAACAGTAAGCGACACGAGTACCAAACAAAGAGAAAAGTAGAGCTTGAAATTGTTTTGCGATCAAAACAAAAACAAAACTCCTCCAGCATTCCTTCAACTAGTTCATGCCCAGTTCAGTTATCAGAAGAAGTAGCACATCTAGCCGGGGCTCATAGAGAGCGTATGTTAACTAGCTTACCAACGTTAGCTTACGTTCTCTCTGCAGCTGTTCATCGATGTAAACGTGTTGCTGACTTTGCCTAAATTCACCCCTCTGGATTTATAACTTTATGTTATAAACAGCGTTTTACTTTACACCAAAGCTGATTTTTAAAAAGTCCAGATCCCTACCGGCTTCTGTTGCTGGTGGTGTTACCGGGTTCAGCTGCTGCTCTCACACCGGAATGAGAAGATCTCTGAACGGCAACGCTCATATAAATAAATAACGAAATTTTAACACACGTAATCATACATCGGGGCTTTAATATGGTTAATAATTGTCTCGCTTTACACTACAGTCGATGGAGCACACCCTCCATGGTGAAATACCCATCCATCAGGATTATCAATAACTAGTATTAACACATCACATTTATCCCTGTCGCTGTCTTCCTCATGAAATAAATGAACGTTAATCTTACCCGGTAAAAACGTGTTCGCTGCAAATCTGAGGGCTGCTAGTCCACTTGATTGATTGCTGCAGTTCATCTCCGTCCTCAGTCTCCATCAAAGTTATTAAAAAAACAAAACGAGTTGAGTTTACGTCCTTGTCTGTTAGTGCAGCCAACCACGCAGCAAGCTAAAACCATTTTACTGTCAAATCAACTAAATTAAAGCGAGAAAAGGCTACAAACTGGCTTGTTTTGACTAGCTTCACTGGAGATTCAACGGGTGTAAACAGTCATTTTGCCGCCCATCATGGCGAAGGGGGCGGTCACATGAGTGGCGTGACATCACGTGCAAAGGGTCAATAGGGAGCCTAAGTCTCCTCCCTTTCCGGTTGGCTCATGGGTCTTGACTGCAAGTCAATGGGGCTAACGGAGCTATTTTCTAATCTGTATTGCCTTCCACCCTGGATCGCACACATGTTCTATTTAAATGAAAAGTAATGAAGTGTTTTTCGACCACACCAGTCAAGTACTTTGAGATTTATCAGCTTGTAAAAGTTCATAATTAGCATGATTACAAATCAGACATTGGCACGTCACATATAATACGTCTCCACAGAATCCTGTCCCCTAGCTTAGCTGCTACTCACCAAATGGCCAAATAGTTCCTTCCTCCTGAAGGAAGGATTTGGAGTTTGCTGAACTTACAGTCATTTTCCTTCTGTTTTTCTCCATGTCTGATTCGATGACATCACTTTTGTGAAGCACTTTTGTGGTCCTGGACATATTTTTGCACAAAACCTAAAATAACGTTTCACCCTGTTCGAAAATAAACACTTTCTTGGTGTGAAAATGCTTCTTTAAAATTCATGGACATCATATGTGAAATCAATGGCACATAACAGGCGGATTTAGAAAATAACATTTTTAGCCCCGTTGACTTGCGTTCATTTTTTCATTCTTCCGGAGACTCATGATAGATGGGCATGAATTAGGCTCCCTATTTGTTTCTATTTCCCTGTTTTCACTGGTTTTTCTAGTCTTCTTCGCCTGATGTTAGAGTAAAACAAAAAGGACGCAATGACTTCTTAGGAGTACAAGAAATAACTTAGCTGCTCTTGTTAGGTTTGTTCCAAAATGTTGCGTTTTGCTGGCTGGTGTTGAATTGCAAATGCTGTTTCAGCAGCATTAGCAGCAACCTCACAGAATGTAAACAATGACTACGCCCATCTTTGGCCTCATTGAAAGGAAAAAAACTGACAACCCCTCAGTCGACTGAAACCTTTCTTCAAACCGTCCTTCAAACAAAATTGAGACATTACACTGCTTAATGATTATTTAACTCTAAAATTCTTACATATTGTATCTTTAAAATTGTAAAACAATAATACAAACAATGTATTAATTCATTATCAAGAGTGCAAAATTAGAAAAAAGCAGTTGTTATGGTTTATTTTAAAGTTTCATGATTTTTAAGAATCAACACTAAATATGGGTCAATACAGAGATCGATGTGAGGAGAACAAAATTATACAGTGAGTCATTTCCTTTATGTCTGGCTGAGTCAAATAAAGCAGTTCCTCTAGTTGAGACGTCATAAACGTCAGAATCGAAGCCACAATTTTCAGGCCTTCAACTGGCCCATTATTCTGCACCGGATACATCGATGGCTTCTCTGCCAAATGAAAGACCCAAGCAGATGTTACACCATTTAGAATGTGCTTTCAATAAATCATTGACAGTACAAACCATTCAAGCTGGATATTTTATCACTAAATGTTTGTGCAGCTGTACATATTAAGAAGCTGCACACATGCCCGAGGAGAAATAAAAAAGACAATAAAATCATCAACATGGGGAATAAAAACCCACTGTATTATTCCTAAATATACCAGTTTGATAAATGCTTGTTGACTCCAGTCTTTTGATTCATTTTAGTCTAACATCAAGACTGAAGGCTGGGGCGTGTCAGATCTGTGTAATTATTCTTCAGGTACAGCTCACTTAGCAGGAGGCCTTGACCTGGCTGATTCCGAGGTCGTAGTTCTCCACAAAGCAGGAATTCCCAGCATTTCCCTTGCGGCTAGGATCCCTCTCTTCAGCTTTGTGGTATGCAAGCAGGATATGGCACATTTCTGAGGGTGATGAACGTATAACTGGAGGCCAAACCTATGATGGGATCACGTTAACCGTAACACTAATCAGTTCTCACCCTTCTATGTTTACATAGACACTGACGTAGTGCAGAGTGACAAATACATGAAAACTGAATTAGAAAGTGGGCACAGGCAGTCAAAATAACAATCTGCTGCTTTTTTTTTTATTTGGAAGCGGTCAGGTGAGCTTTCACCGATGATGCAATGTGGTGCCAGAAACTTTGGTGTCATTTCATTCAGGCTGTGGAATGCTGCAAGAACTGTCCAAAAATGAGAAATGCTACAGAGAACATGTATAAAATGTGTAATAATTGCACGATACACTAAAAAAACAAATCAGCTTCAAATAAATGTGACAAGTTGAAAATATATATATTTCTGAATAACATACTTTCTGTTTAAATCATTCAAGTGCCAAATCAGAAGTATTGCTATTGTAGTGGTGTTGGTGAGAAGAAATCTTCAATCAGTTTGAAACATGCAGCGATGATGTCACTCTTCACAGGTAAAATGACAATGTTTGTGGTTTTTGCCTGAGGTCTCAAAAATAATTAAATTTGAGGCTTGAGGCTTTATATGAAGTTTTGTTCCATTCCAATTTTGCAGCTAGATGAATTTTCTGGTTTACAGAGACTGCTTCTAGCACTGCTCTCACAATAAGTGAGCTTTATCTTTCATTCCTCCTGTCCTGTTTGTTGTTTCCTCCAATAACGTTCGGACAAAAATCTAATGAATTTTCATTTTCAATATAGAAAACAGAAAATTACTCGGACGAAATTATTTTTAAATACAAATTAAACATATTTCAGTTCGGCCAAAAAGTTCAGAGACATCTGTGATTGTGGTTAGTGGGACCACCAACGCTGTAGGAAGTAAACGCTTTGAAAACAAATCTATCATGACCCAAACGCAACAAGAAAGGGTCGACTGTATGTGCTGATTTACAAAACTGGAACAACTTCTTCTTCATCTTTGTTTAAGGAAGTGGGCTTTCAAGTTCTCATTCTGCGTAAGCATTAAGCTGCAATAAAAATGACAGAAACCGAGTTGTTTAAAACACCCCAGTTCCCAAATGTGCAACAATGCATGGCCTGTGTGTTATTTTTCACTCTCACCTTCTGGGTAATTGAGTATGTCATTAGTTGAATTTAGACCTAAGAGGTTTAGTCCTGTCAGTTAGACACAATCGTTAGAGGTTATTTTTGTGCCAGTTAAAACAAATTACTGAAAAAGGTTAATCTAAAAATCCCAAATGGTTCTTAATGCAGCTATTTTACAGGATTATTGCTGGAAATCTATAAATGCTTGTGTGAAGTTCCTTTTGACGCGGCAGCAAGAGGTAAAACGTTATCTAACTTATTAATTCTTCTTTTCTGATTCTTCTCTGCTGCAAACCGAATACACTGGAGAGTATCAGAGACAAAACCCAGAGGACAGAGCTGAGTTTCATCAGCTGCTTCGAGCGGGGGAGGTTCAGGTATTCACTTAGATGGCCTGGCTGGCCCCGAGGACTGGTATCCACATCATCATCATCATCAGAGAAATCTCTGTAACACCGAATCATCTGTCTGACTCAGTTCTGGCTCTTTGTGTCTTTTCCAATTAACTCCTGCTGCTGCACTTCATCTCATCCCTCTGCAGTAATTATTGACAAGTTATACTTGGTAGATTGCTGAGTGCTGAAATGTATTTTGTGGTTTTCTTAAATAGTTGGAATATTTTAATATTGTTGAAATTTTCATAAACAAGTCAGTTGATCAGTCTTTACCCTACATCTGCACAAATGAGTCTTTGCCTACATCTGTGCCAGGAATAAAAAGAAGGGATGACATCAATGCAAAAGTACTTAAAGTTCTAATTTACTGATATTTTAATACATTTGCAGTCGTCTCTCGTAGGAATGAATGCTTTGTAAGTTGGAAAAACGTTCCGGTGCACCTGTTTGAGGGTGTAGAAGTCAGCCAGTGGAGAAAGTAGCATCAGATGACAGGATCTGGAGTCTTATTTCTTTATATTTGGACATCTCGTCTCTGATTGGTTAACAGCAATGTGACTCTACCATTGTGTTTGTTTTGCAACAAATAACTCAAGCCTGAAGGAGATCTGCTGTGTGGGTGTTGGTAACGCTAACCTTTGGCTTCTAGTCATGATGTTTTCTGCTGTTTCCTGGACGCTAAACCAACAACAGGCTTCCCTGTCGCGAGTCAGGATGGATGAGTCCACGAATGTAGTGTGACGTAGATCTGTCAGGTTTTTCTCAAATGAGTGTTTCTCCATCTCTTTTCTATCAAAAGGTAATGCAGGAGATGTAGAAGACTACGTTCATTTTGAACCTGCATGTTAAACTCAAAGTGACAGATCAATTTAAAAAATGATCAGTAAAAATGGTTTTTCAGTGAACTTGGTCTTTAATATTAGCTTTTTCTACTGAATTAAACTGTCTTTTAATCAAACAGCTGCTGTAATAAAACATGCACATGAAACAAGTCTCCGGTATGATAGTTTATGTTTAGGATTGTTACATTTCTGGTGTTTTATTTGTTCTTGTTCTTTAACTTGCAAAAAAAAAAAAAACTAAAAAATAAAAAAAAACTTGCTTTTCTAAATAGTTATTGTAAACATCGTACAGCCAACGTGATATGAATTCCTTCTCAAGTCTGAACTCAAACAACCACAATCATTATGTTGTCAGATCCTTGGATTTGCACTTTGCCACACGTTAACCTAAAAGGCAGCAATTGAACATTTGTAGATAATTATGCTAGAGACCAAGATCACTTCACATATGTTGCCTGGGTGTATTTTGTGTCTCTGACAGAAAGCATAACTCAGCTGTGGTGTGTAAACTGCAAACACAGTTCTATGAGACAGTCTGTTTTGTGCAAATGAATCCAAAAGTAACTCTCTTGTGCACAATGTGGTAACACTCTTGGATATCTGAGCATGCACAAAAATGCTCAGAGGGGAACACATTCAACCTTCACATGGCATTCATTTGTTTTCACTTTAGTTTTATCTTCACTGTTTCCTCTAATCTGATGTTTTCCACCAGAGATAGACAGGTTCACGTTTGAAGAAAACCAAGAAGAGCCTCTCACACTCCAGACAGCTGTAAACATATACAACCCTGGAACCAGCACTTGCTCTACTTTTCCATAGGATCTCATTCCATCCATCCATTCATTCATCCATCCAGCTTTTTCATGCATGCTCATCTGTTCAACCATCCTTTTTGATCCGCTTATCCGGGGTCGGGTCACGGAGGCAGCAGTCTAAGCAGAGAGGCACAGACTTTCACCTCTCCAGCCACTTCAGCCAGCTCCTCTGGGGAAATCATAAGGCGTTTCCTGGCCAGCTGAGAAACACAGTCCCTCCATCATGTCCTGGGTCTTCCTTTGGGTCTCCTCCCGGTTGTCCAGGAGGCATCCTAACCAGATGCCCGAGCAACCTCATCTAGTTCCTCTCGGTGTGGAGAAACAGCAGGTCTACTCCGAGCCCCTCCCAGACGATTGAGCTTCTCACCCTATCGCTAAGGGGAGAGCCCAGCAACCCTACAGAGAAAACTCATGTCGACCGTTCCGTTTGGAACCCAAGTTTTTCATTTTTATTAGTGGATTTTAGTGGCCGAAGGTTACAATACTAGCTTACTGCCCATGTGGAAATGCACGTACCTTTGTTATTATTTTTCTTCAAACTATTCTCTCAAGTGTTGCTGCTGTAACACGTGAATTTCCCCACTGTGGGATCAAAACATTCTATTCCATTCCATTCCATTCCATTCTATTCTATTCTATTCTATTCTATTCTATTCTATTCTATTCTATTCTATTCTATTCTAAAGCCCTGAAATACTTAAACTCCTCCACTTGAGGCAGGGCCTCATCTCTGACCTGGAGAAGGCATTCTACCCTTCCAAAGGATTTTTATTCATTTTTATTTAAAGATGTTCAGAAACCAGTTTGCACAACTTTCTCTTTTATAAAGTTGATCTGGGAAAATTAATTTTCCACTTGCAGCCCTTCCCTGTGCAGAACAAATCACCAATTCAAACAAACTTTTCTGGATCTATAAGGAAACATGCAATCAGTGATGTTTCTGTTCTCTGTACCACGTTTAACCTCTGTATGATTAAATATACCAAAGTCTGCAAAAGGAAAAATTAATGGGCTTCTGGTCTATTTACTTTATGAAACCAATTAGTGTTTGTATTACTAAAACAGAGGGTGTTTGAGCCCTCAGTAGTTGTAATTGGCTACCAAATGTATTTACACAAAGGTGGTTAGGAGTCTCAGACACTGATCTATAGACTAAATGTTATTATGATGGTGCTGCATTTTTAGCACACAACACAGAAGCTTTTGAACGTCAGACTCTTTAGTGGAAGCAGGTTGGCCTTTTGGTAAATGTATTCATTAAGTTAAAGTGAAATGATGAGTAAAACTGTGTTGGTTAAGATGATGTTAGCAGATTAAATATTCAATAATCATCCAGGGATCTATGGTAAAGATCCAAACTTTATTCAGTTTAATTGAATGATAACTATTTTG